AGCCACGATCGGTACGTGGGCGATGCCCATGGTGGTCGGCGACCGACGGAGAATGCCTTTTCCAGCCTCGGTTCCTGCCTGGGCTGTTGCTTACGCCTTTGAACGATCAGTGTCAATCGACACCACCAGCCTCTCTCCGCATGCTTGACAACGATTAACCCGTTTGATCGTGTTGTTTGATGGCTGACGCTTGGCCTGATCGACTGAGTGTTGTTTGGTAGCCAGAGGAGTTCAGGGGTGTGATTGTCTCTTGATGATGATGTGGTGCACACACGGTGCTGTTCGAAAGTTTGGTGTTGTATCCTTCGAACAAGCTTTTTCATACGTACACTGCCGTTCGTAAATATTAGGACACCCGGTATACGATTCAAGTTATATTACATTTCTTCGTCAATTTGTAGAATAATTGTAACAATTTTGTAATGAGTTTTTTGGGTTAAAATTGTAGCGATAGTGATGCTTAGACTCTGAAACGTAGACTGAATACCATGCACAAGCTTTGTCTTCATCGGTGGCTGTTGAAGCTAGCACAAGCTATGCTTATCTCGGTAACGAAAGGTTTGAGACCTATAGTGTATACGACTTTTTTTGTTCAGTGTCACCTGCTTGATACGTGGGCAAAGTTTGTTGAATTTCTAACCGGACACCCGGTATATTGAAATTACTTGATTTAAGACGAGTGCCGTGTCAATTTCACGCGACTCTCCAATCAGGCCGCGTGGGCTACTAATGTAAGCTTACAAATCCATGAAAAACATTTTCAATTATCTTTATTTTACAACTATTATCATGTTTTTTCATTTTGTATCTTTGTTACGAATACTTCTTTTGCAACGAATTCTGTTAACTACACGATGGATCGCAACTATGCTCGCATCTTTCCTCCAATAGGAAAAACTATTTTACTAGAACGGGACACGCGAATAATCAGAAACAAACAGTTTTCCCGTTCGAGTAAACGGGAACAGGATAGAGTTGCAGATTCATTTCTCATGCCGGAGGAATGGAAATATGTTAGGTTGTAAGCTGAACGTAAAACTAGGAGCTTGTGCGTTATAGCGGAGTTCGTCATAAAATTCGCGTGGTTGAATAGAAATTGTTTTATTTAAAATCCGGCTGCGAACAGCTCTACGGAGAAATGTGTGGAATTCTGTCACGTATTCCCGTCGACAGTCCAATTACTGCATGTCAGAGACACACTCGAAAATTGTTCCTCTGTGCGCGCTTGCAACTCTGCATCCTGATTATTATTAAACGTCGCACAATGCCGCAACATAAAATATGCCGTTCGAAATTAAAAATAAAAATGGAGGAGTGGGGGGGTGGATAAAAGGAGCTGGGAATTGTACAGAGAGTTGAACCCGGTGAATTTAATAATGATTCCAGACAGGTGGTATTAAATTATGATACGTTCGATACGATTTAATTGATGCGTTGTAACATCAATCGGGGGAAGATTTTTGCAAAATTATACATATTCTTACGGTGAGATTGTTTTATTGTCTGATTGATATTCATTCAAATTTGCTGAAATCGACCGCATTAATTATTATATTTCCCGTGAATATTTATACGGAACGGGGTTTACCTGAAACGATTGTAATAATTTCGAGCTTCGTTTCTCTGTACTTTTTTATATGAAATTTCATTTTTGAGAGCTTCTTCAATTTTCTGTGGAATATGAAATTAAAGAAAATGGTAGAATTAAGTATAGAGTGGTTCTTTATGCAGTAATTTATGTTATTTGTTTAACTAATGAATATACATTTATTCGGCGGTATTCTTAAAATATGTTGTTACTCGACTGCAAGCGTAATAAAAGTTTGTCCAATAATTCAGTTTCCTCTAAAATGAAGCTGAAACAGATGAAACAAGTTTCATTTCTTATTCTTCGCTTATTATTGCTCCATCTTGTATAATAGAAAGATCCAAGCCATATTGCTTTATTAAAATGATTTCTTTTCTCGTTTCTTTATTAAAATGATATCTTTCCTCCCTTCTTTATTAAAGTAATTTCTTTCTTCCTTTCTTTATTAAAATGACTGCCACGAGGAATCTCAGTAACCCCTTCGTCAGCGATTTCTTTGCAACGTTTAATTTTGCCACAATTTTAAGAGAAAAAAAAAAAGGAGATATATTTTATTTCTTTTCTTCAATATTGATCTGAATGACTCTAAGAACTCGTGAAAGTGTCGTTTCAATTGCCTGCAATTGCCACAGCTAAAAATGGAAATTTTTGCACGTGGAAAATGGAAATAATTGAATTTGTTCAAACAAATTAAACTTCTATCTCTATCGATATAAACATATGGTTCCCAGAGTTTACTGTGAAAAAGCTTGATTGTGTTAGAGAAAAATGGGTGGATTTCGAATGCATATAAAAACTGAAATATCAGGAAAATATTGCTAAATATTTGATATAATAATGTAAACTCAGTATTTATTCTTTTGTTTCACTGGAAATTGTAACGGAAAAATGAACGAAGCAACACAAAACACGTTCTCTCTGGAAGAATTAATTAATTTGAACCTCTTTTTCACAAACTTCAATGTTTATTTACAACAAACCAGCCACAATTTTAATATTAAAACAAGAATTTTAATGTTCAGATAAAATGTGTCGCTTTTAATCGATAAAGTCGTTCAAACTTTGTGAAAAAAGGCACCGAATTAACCCTAGTGCGGTCTTCGGGTCTTTTTCGACCCATTGTCTTCTTATATTTTTAATATTTTTTGCTGTTATCCAGTCTATGTTTTCTTGACATTATATCAAAAGTTTATTGTGTAGGTTCATATGGCGTGCTGATAATAAAAATTGTTACTCATAATTATAAAAAATAAATAAGAAATGTCATTGGGTCAAAAAAGACCCAAAGACCTTAAGTGTGTAGCCGAACAAAAGAGCGCACTAGGGTTAATTCGTACACCTAACAACAATTAAAAAACACATTAATCCAGAGTTTCTGTTAATTCTATCGCGAACTAAAATGCTGAAATATATAAAACATAAACTTTCGATTTATTTATACGACAAAAGTTGTAGAATAAATGAACGCTAATTTAATAAAAAAAAAAGTTCTCACACAGAATCTAGAAACTCTTTTACCGTGTCATCGTGCAAAAGTGTCGTGACGAAAATAACCCTCGGTGAAAATGGTGTCCCGAATAGCATCCCCGTTCAGGAATTCCTCTTTCATTACTTATTGACTTCTCGCTTCCTGCACCGCGATCCCGGGGGAACGGTACTTCCTTTCTCCATTTAGAAACCGGCTGAATTGCGTTCTCGCGAGTTCATCAATAATTCGCAGCTCGAAGGCCCGATCTGTTCCCCGTCGTCTCTATTTTCGAGGGAAGCAGTCGTCGTCGGCAAATCCTCTCAGGATTTATAGAATCCACGGAGAGCTGCGCGCGCCGTGTATCTCGTGCTTAAAGTGGAGCTCTGTGATACCGAGAGTCCAGGAGAGAACTTTTCTTCTCCTCCGGGAGGGCGAGGAAAACTCGGGGAGAGAAACAGAAAGGTAATGTGGGCCAAACGTGGAGACGATCGAAATCACGTTTGCAGTTAAACGAAGTGGTAAATTCTGCGAGACAGTAAGAGGTCCTGGCCTCGCGATTCGGCTACGTTTTCCAATTTTATCGGTGAAGTTTGCTTTTGGAAGCCACGGCGGAGATCGCCGAGGAGCAGTTTGTTGCCGGTGAGGATTCAGTTTTATCTCGTCTACTGACGCGAACGTCGATAGCAGAGCTGAGATGGAAGTGCAGCTGTTGGAGAAGTAACGGCGAAGGACCGAGGAGATATTTTTATGCAGGGTGTTGCGGGGTGTACAGATTGGAAATTGACAGATGTCCATTTTACGTGGAAAATTTTGTGGAAATAACTGAGGAGAAGGAAGTTTCGTGTTAAGGGACTCGAAGATGCAGTTGAAGCTTGATGCACTTTTCTGTGACATTTTTTTTTTATTGCTCTTCTTTCTGCTGAATATATCGAGGGAAAGTTGGTGTATCGTTGAATTTCCAGAAGAAAGAAACGAGGAGAAGGAAGTTTCGTGTTAAGGGACTCGAAGATGCAGTTGAAGCTTGATGCACTTTTCTGTGACGATTTTTTTTTATTGATCTTCTTTCTGCTGAATATATCGAGGGAAAGTTGGTGTATCGTTGAATTTCCAGAAGAAAGAAAAGCAATAAACAAATTTTGTGGAAATAACTGAGGAGAAGGAAATTTCGTGTTAAGGGACTCGAAGATGCAGTTGAAGCTTGATGCACTTTTCTGTGACGATTTTTTTTTTTTTTATTGATTTTCCTTTCTGCTGAATATACCAAGAGAAAGTTGGTATATGTTGGTGTATCGTGGGAATTTCCAGCAGAAAAAAAGCAATAAAGAATTCTCGTGGAAATAACTGGGAAAAAGAAGGTTTGATGTTAAGGAACTTGAAGACGCAGTTGAAGCTTGATACACTTTCTTTTATTAATTTTCTTTCTGTTGACTATATACCGCGTGTTTTTCTTTTTTCTCGACGCAGTTTGCGTCACTTCCTGCTGTCTATTGTATTCGTAACTTCCTGCTGTCTAGGATATAAGTAACCTACCCGCCGTCTAATGTATTCGCTAAGTACGCCTTTCCAATGAATTAATAATTCTAAATAAGTGGCTATTGTTAGGTTTATGCAAAAATTCTCATCTTGTTTTTCCGGAGAATGTGTATTTATTTTTTGTTGTATTATAATATTAACACTGTATACTGTTTATCGTGATGAACACCAACTGTGAAAATTTTGAAAAGAAAAGAAACATACAGTGCCTCTTAGTCTTTTAATCTTTCTCCAATAATTGCTATAGTCTGAGTTGCTAATAACCCAACTTCAGTGGTTGATGCGACTCAAAATAAAGAAATGAAGAAAGGAAAAATATGTTACATTTGCAATATTTTTTTTTTCACGTGCACTTTCTTTTTGCATGTTTAATGAAGACAGTTATAGCAAATATTTGAATTTCTGTTGCAGTTCTGAATGAGCTCGAGGGCTTGGCGAGAGGTGCAGATGCCAGAGACTGTCCTCCAGCTTCGAGGGCGGCTTTGGACCCGGAACATGTGGCCAGGGTGGCGGAAAGTGCGAAAGCTGCCCTAGCTTTCGCGAGAAGCAGAAATCCGGCAATTCGGTGCTTAACCACGAGAGGAACTGTTCTTACGTCTAGTACTTTCACGATGGAGGAGGATGTTGATAAGGTAAGAAAATTGACGATTAATAAATACTTGATATGTCTCAGGTATGCAAATTAATTTGGTGCCCTTTTTGCACAAACTTCAATGTTTATTCAATGTTTGTTCAAAGTAACCTTCGTTATTTTGGACGATTTTTCTCCATTTATCGGGTAATTGACGAATTCCCCCTTTTCTGAAAAAATATGACTGTTTTTAGTCGATAACGTTGGTCAGACTTTGTGGAAAAAGGCACCGAATTAATTTGTATATGTAATACCAGATGTTGTGAAAGGTTGGGATCAAATTAAGTGACCAGAGAATCAGGAAATGAGTGACAGTCGATTGTTAGTTTCTGAGGTGCATCAATTTTTGATATAGAGTTTAATTTACTTCTTGAGATAAAATAGTCATGAAAGTCTGTGTATACACCATGAGTGTAAACTTGTGTAAATTAAGTATTCAGATGTTTAAAAAATCTCTTATCTTTGGAGCCTGGAAGCAAAGATTTCGTATCCTTACTTTTGCCCTCCAATTTTATTTTCGTTTTGTAGAATATTAAAAGTGGAATTGTTAACTTCTTTCTACCACGAGAAACAACTCGAGAATCTGGGAAACATATGCATCACTTCAGTGTATTAAATTCTAACAGATAATATTTTTGAATATACCGCCATTTCTTGCTACACTAAAACAGAAATCTGAACCCTTTTTATTACAGAATACACAAAAAAAAAATATTCAAAAAGTGTCGTAATCTCTTCCAAGATGACGGTACACTAATTCATAAACGAATCTGAAATACTCACAATTACCAAATAATTTCACAAAAAATCAGTTCCATTTGTTCCGTGCAATCTCGACACGCGAACGACATAAATTCTCGCGAGACTCGAGAAAAATGGAGAATGGGAAGAAA